CAAACATTCTTATCACTCCATACCATCCAAAAATTCAGTATGAGACAGATAAATTGTAATAAAACATGGAAAATAGTGGATATGATAGCTAAGTAAATAAATAACCGTAATAGTTAACTAAGATAAAATAAAATAGGAACACTACATTTTACAAATTCGTGTTTTTGGTCTGTGGTAAATGGATCCTAAACGCAAATGGTTGACGAAACGTGATGTTTCAACAGAAAATTACGGATCTCACTATCTGTATTGACTGGTTTTAACTTGGGTTATTTGGGAACATGTAAATAAATAAAGTTTGGAAGAACACGTAATGGCATTATTTATAGACAATGTCACGGCCCACGCCGTGAAGGTTGACATTTTCAAAGGACCTTTATGAATTAATACTCTCGTGTAAGTAAGTAGTCTATGTGTATTTGTCTATTAAATTCTGACGTATTACTTCGAAATGTCAAGTCATGTACTGTTTTCTCGCAACTTTTATTTTTTTCAGATAAAAGTTCAATTAAATGACCAAAACTTTCGATATATTTCAAAGGTAAATAAATAAATATAATATTTGTCCGTCAGTGAAGACGGCCCCTTAGCATGGGTCCGCGAAGTAAGGTCAAATCTATTAAGCCGGTGACTCACTGGCATACGGGAATCATGCACCGTCGATGGACCTCAGTGGATATACGTACCTTTTAAGGCTATATTATAACCTTATTTATTTATAAGTATTGTCTTCTAGCATAATATTAATATTGTATAGTTGTGGTATTTGCTGATGATCTCGTAACATGCATGTCCGGTCACAATATTATATTCATTGTCTTTTATAATTATTTTACAGTAACTTTTCCTCGGCTTAACTGTAACGCTGTCTTTAACTTTATTCTACCTACTGTCAAAAACTGAAGAAGACACAAAATATCTAATTTGAAAGCAATGAAATAGACATTCATTGTTTTAAATTGGAGAACAAACTCATCATAAAATCTTCAGTATTCTTTAGTAAATTCTATGCGTAACAAAGTAGCGAAAAGTTTCATTAGTTACACTCGATAACTTGGTTTACCTACGTTATGTAATGGCAGATTTACGGAGGGCAATGACCTACCTGGTAGAGAGGACGATGTCTCATTTTTAGAGGCAATACTGAGAATTATTAAAGATCTATTATAAAGACGAGGAACAATATTTGTTATATCTTTTAGCTTTTAGTGATTGTAGCAAACTGCACAAACCACAAAGGAGACAAAAAAGTTTCGGTAAAACCCAAAATCGGACGCAATTCTTGATTATGAAATCTATAAGTGCTTTGCTGTAGGTATTATCTAAAAGATAGAGCTCGGACAGGATCTCTTACGGTTGAAATTAATAACCAATCTCAGTTCAAACCAGATATATTGGACTGAGTTCTGTTAATCAATTCAGCCGATAACAGGCAGTGAGCGTATCTGCGATCTCTAGGACTTGGATTCAACTTCCAATTTTAGACTTATTATAGTCAAAATCACACGTCAGGCACAAATTAAGACTTGAACCACAAAAGAAAACCACATTGCAAATCAGGATAGATCACGTTGAACATAGATAATTCCAGCTGTGGTTTATTCTGTATTGATTTATTCAAAATCCGTTGGTTATGGTGTACAATAGAATTATTTATGGGTACACAGAATGTTTGTAATACTGATATGTATCGATCTGCGGTTGGCAGTTACTATGTACTGTTATAAAACCACTTAAAAGCTACATTATATACGGGTCTATGACGATGAACTTTTATAACTGTGATGTAGCTTTTGAGTAGTTATGACGAATCTAAGTTATAAATGCAAATGGTGTTGTGTTTGTTTGTCGTAAGGATTCTTCATTGTTTTACACGTGTATTTCTTTCCTTATGTCTATTTATTGGTTTAAATCCTTATTATTTAAAAGTATCAATATCCTAGAGCCTGAACAGGATAACAAAAACTACTCTATTTAAAGAAGTGTAGTTAGGTATGCATTTGTATAGCCACAAAACCTCATTATAAAGATGACCTAAATCGAATGCAAATACGGACTGGCCCAACCGTAGCATGAAATTCCATAAAAATACACGGAAGTATAAGCTCGTAGAAATAATGGCAAGTTTATGTTTTAGAATTTGGGTTTTAACATATTTTGTTAAGGTCCTTTTAGCATATTTTCATAAAACAGGAGATCCTGACTCAGATGTACAAATCGCGAAAGAAAATCAGTTCTTAGACATGTTTCTGCTCGGAGTCGCGGAGAACCTAACGGGTTACCGGGGCTCCGGCTCGAAGTGCAGGAGAAGAAACGGGCGGGTTTTTAGTCAGTAAGAGTTTGATACTCCCTCCCGCCTCACCCAGATTGATGATTATCACCCCTTAAAAACAAGATATGTTTCTGCCAACGAAGAAAACATATGCGACGTGTATGCGTGCTGATCTTAAAATATGCATAGGTACGGCATAGTTATAACCACAATGTAGGCTAATGTTCGTTTTGTAGGAACAATATTTGAGCGACGAGATTAGCCCTCGCGTCCGCCGGGAAAGATAAAAAAGGTATAAGAGTTGATAACCTAATTGGCACAATTGAACTATTTTGATGGGTTTTTGACGCGTATGTAAACCGTATGTATTGAATAAAAAACTAGCATTGGATAAACTGTAGATAATTATTATTTATTTTTACAGTCTAAGCCGGTAAACTAGCAAATGGATCACGTCATGATGCACCGTCGCACGCGCTTAATCATCTATTCCTCGCACTCTGGCCGCGCTCAATGATCTCCTGGGTTCCAATTCAAGTAGTGATCTGTTTGCCAACGGATGGAAGGAGAGTTACTTATTACTGCGAGAGAAACTTATAAATAAAAAAAAAATAAAACTTTAGTTTTTTACACCAAAGGAGTTAAAAGTGCGTTGCAGGTCTTTTGAGGATTACAATTTAATTCAATGATTAGGGAGACTGGGAAGAGAACACCACATGTCTTAATCTTTAGTCTAAAATGGCTGGTCTAGGAGTTTCAGGCATACAAGTAAGTATAAATGATTTATAAATAAGGTAAATATGCTCAATCCCATCTTCAGTTATGATAATTTCAAATAGGAGAAATATCTTTGGTGTGTTTTTCATTAAACATTGTAAATAGAGGATTTGTTGTTGTCCATGACATGGATAGTAAGATGTCTAATCACAATATAAAATACAAAAAAATCCTTTGATGATGTGTGAAAAATGGTATTCATAAAAACATTGATGATCAATGACAATTAGTACTTATCCATTACCTATCTTGTAAAAGGAAATCTCTAGTAATTATATTTCAAGTAACTAATAATTTGTGGTCGACAAATAACGATTTACCTTATAAATACAAAATAAAAATAATACCAATAAAAAACTTGTAGGTAGTACTTGTATGAACAAGGAAACAAACCATTTTATGTGTAACACTAATTAATGAGTTAATTAACCAATAAAACAAAAAATAATTATTTGCCAAACATTTTATGATTACATGTTAGTTCATTATTCGTAATTAATACCAATTTTAGTCGTAAAATTGTGATATATATTTTATAATACAGGTATGATCAATTAATTTGTGAAACCCTGTTGTGGTTCAGAGTAACTGGTGCTATTTAAAGATTATCTTAAATCAGTATCCTGTTGGTAGGTCGAAGGATGAAGGATTACTAATAAAAACTTTTGTATACGATCTCCTTTGAAAGATAAAGACTTTCTGAATATCTTTGCAACTAAGAATAAGCATTCTCTACTCGTATTACTCTAGTAAAATCTTTGGATTAAATTATTTTAGAAAGACCTGTTATTCCCAAATTTCTGAAATAGGTATCTTTTTTTGACAATAAGGTCTTAGTATGGTTATCAATGTTTGGTTTCTACTGTTTACAAGACTTGCAATGGTTGCACATGTTTTACAAAAAGTTATGTGTTGTTATTGAGTAGGCAATTTCCCCAATCGCTGAATCCCCAATAATCCTCAAATAGCTAATCCCCAGAAGGCCGGTAACACACTTGTAATGCCTCTTACCGTCAGGTGATCCACCTACTCGTTTACCAGCATAAAAAGAAAGGTTTTAAGAGAAACCAAAGCATCTAGTGTGTGAGATAAAACCAAGTTTTGACTTATTTTCATCGTTCTAGTCTTAAAGCCATCATGTTGTAAATTATTTATGAAATTCTTTAAATTTGACATGTGGTAATCCTAATAGATCTGATAATAATATAGAAGAATATTATTGTTCATGAAAATAACCTTTTCTTACATAAAACTGGGTGCATTCTATTATCAATTGTATCAGAAGGAAACTATCAAAGTTATAATCTTCCTCTGTTTCTCCTATAACTGTTAAGGAAATAATATAAACAATGAACTGATAAGTACTAGCTAATTTTCGTGACTTAAACATATGTGTGTTCATAAGATATACAAACATGTACCAAGTTTCTGGTTGGTTTAAATTTATGATGACACCATCATGAACAGTTATTTATAATAACTACGTACTTAAGAACAAAGATTTTTACGTTTTGTAGTCTTTACTAAAGGTTATGGTATTTTTTATTGGAATGTTATTCTAATAAGAAATTCATAGTTTGATGAATAATGCAATTTACACACATGAATCACGCGTTTTTAACTCAAAAAAGCGGTTTTAGACGTCGAAAGAATCCATTGTCTGGTCGAAGTGCATCGGATTTAATACATTATGATAACAATGCACATGTGGGCATCTCACAGGCGAGAACAATTGACCAGACGACCAAACAGGAAGTTTACACAGTAATTATAAACAGAACAGTGGAAAAATAAACTCAATTTCGGCAACGTCTTGAAGAAGCCTACAGTTAAAACTCGCGATGAGTTCGTGGGCGGTATACTACGAATAGGCGTGATACCAAAAAACAACAATATGTGCCATACCTCACATCAAAAACTTAAAAAATAACAAAATTAACTACTAACTTACCGTAAATCTCCTTGATTTCGTTGTCGTTGGCTACATTATCACAATGAACGCACAAAATAAATACAATAAAAATGGCTCCTACGGTGTAATGAACATACATCTTAATAACACAATACGCACGTAAGAAGCGTGCGTAAACAGCTTAAACAGTATTTATAAAACACATTTTCACTTCGTTATCGGATAAGAGCGGAAATAATCTTTCTAACGAGTCATTTAATTCGTCTAAATTGTACCAATCGAGCTGCCATCGAACAAGACCCCGCTGACCCCGCCGTCTGTCATTCGTCATGTCAATAAACAATTAATGTTGCCATACAAATATTTTAATTTACTACCACTTCAGTAGTAATGTAGCATTGCACTAAGAAAATAAATATTAATGCACCTAAATATTACAATATCTGAGAGTTGAAATGACACGATGATCTTACCCACTGCTGGATAACCGATATGTCGGAAGAGTAATAATTGTTATGGACCCCGAAAAAAAATTACCCTTATACAAAATGATCGATTTGGTTAGAACAAAATCGAATCTCATCTAAACGGAGTTTCCAATAGAAATTCGCTTTACACTTACGAGGTGTTCATTTTATAAGATGCCTTTTAAATTCTAAATTTAAGTGAAGAAGACACACTTAAATATGATTATTTACGAAGTGTGAATTCTTCATTTGGCATTTAATAAATAAAGTCAGAGATATACGTTGTAAGGTTGACTTTAAACTGTATACGATAGCAAGAAATCTTTAAAGCCGTCTGTCGTTCAATGGACAGCAAATAATCTGGTCATCTGCTACAATACAAGACACTACAATAGTAATATGCGTTCCTGGCTGTAAAGAGGTTTGGTCATACCTTTTTGAATGATCCCATGATATAAGATATGGGAAAATATATTCTTAATCTACAAAATGTTTCTATAAGATTGTTTGTTTAAATAGTGGACTATTTATTACCACTATTTTTTGCCAATTGCTTGTTTATAAACAATAATTATCTGCCTATATCCACTCTCTCTCTCTCCGTCTATAAAATTGTTTCGAAATTAGTAATTAAAATATTTGTTCATGGCAACATTTCAAATACAGTGTTGTTGGATTATAAAATTATTTGAAATGGACTATTATGTTAAAAAACCAATAAAAGATTACATTAATTTTTTATTTATTCGAATGAATTTATGTTATAAGCAATTGTTTATACCAAACATTTTTGTACAATTCATGTTTTTTATTGAATAAACCTACACTGAAAAATAAATAAATTTTTCACGAGAATCCTATCTGTGATAGATTTATGATGATGAAACTTGGCAACACTATCAGTGAGATTGTTTGTTCGGCTTTGGGTGTCAGCCGCTTTGTAGTTTTGCGTGATAATTATAGAAATAATCAGTGCTATCGTTGTATAAGTGAATAGAAAATGGTTTAATAATCGTGCGATGACTTTACTGTCGCGTTATTGCGCGTAATATACGTAAAATTGAGGTGCTTCCGCCATGACAATGGGTAGCACCGTCGGGAAGTATCCCGCGGCACTTGTTCTATATTTTCTGTGTATGGGACTATGGTATCCAATTTTAGGTGAGTAATAAACAATTTTAGATTGTTTTCATCGTAACAGCTTATGTATTTTAAAACCAGGCGTGTATATTTACCGTTTAAGCCATAGAAACATGGAACAGGACAATATTTTTTGTAACACTACGCGCATTTTTTTCAATTGAAGTGTTTCCTCAAAATTTGCGGTCAGCGGATGCAATTCAACTTCGATGTGAGTGTATTCCTGTTGGTTGTACACGTAGGAACGATGTTTACATAGATTTGGGTGAACTTTTATGTTTGATATGAATATTTGGAGACATAAATATTTAGTGACTCTTGTTTGATACATATACTCGAAAAGACTAGAACTTTTGCGTCTTAAGCTTTTCAAATGGAACTTTATGTGAGTTTTATTATAAAAACAAGTTGAACACATCAATGCCATATTAATAATTATGTAGAAATTAAAAGTTCCATTGAATTTCTGTTACATTATTATGACCATTACAACATTTGTAGCTTTTGGCAAGAATTATAGTTATCACTTTAAAACATAAACTTATATTTTATGAGTTAGCACACTTTTCTTATCATTTGAAAGTGGATATTTCATTCAATTGTAAATTATACATTACAATATAAACAATTAATGAGTAGAAATAAGCAATAATGATTAAACAAACCCATATATATAGAACTTTTAGAGCAATAGATCATTATTTTGTACTTTTTGATTAAAATATTTATTTTACAATTATTCATTTGTTTATAAGTAAGTAGAGCACAAATTATGCTAATACAATAATTTCTTAGGAAGGTGTATTAGGTTTCGCAAGGAAGGAATGTGTAGTAAGCAGTGCTCTCTTGTAAACCTGAAGTTTTAAAACTGTGATCCTACCTTTCTGAGAAGCATAGAGATTATAACAGAGTACTTTTACGTAGGGCACCACACAGTCTAAGGGTGTTGATGTGATAAATGTGCCAGGTGGGCTGGAGGTGATGCTTTGTAGTTTATATCTGTACTTCTAGGATGAACTTGTGAATTTATCTAAATCTATGAAACAGACTGTCTGACTGACCAACTCATAGACAATCATAACTAAAACTACAGGGAAAACATGTTGTTCAGTGTGTAATTTTGTTAACTTAAACATGGATAATATTTATTTATTTATTTAGTGCTCTAAAAACAACTACCATTACAGATATAATCCAATATGATAGTCTAGCCATCAGTCTTACATCTTTTAGTATTTACTTATTACCTAATTGTATTTAATGTAAACATAGAGACTTCTTACTTAACATATCTTCATACAAATACAATAAAGTTACCGTTCATTATATGGGTCTCAAAATATATAAGTGAAAAGCTTGCATTTTCATCAAATACTAGCTGTAGCCTGTGATTTTGTCTATGTAGGATATGAATTTCAGAATATAGCTTTTTTTGTTTCAATTTTCATAAATAAAAGTAGCATATGTTACTTCTTTGTACATCAGCTACCTGCCAATAAAAGTCTTGCAAAATCTGTGAAGCCATTCCAGAAATTAGCCAGTACAAACAAATAGACAGACAGACAAAAATTGCAATCTTTATTATTATTTTGGTACTTATGTGTATTGTTTGCAAATTCATATGCATGTAGTAAAAAGCGGTTATTTATATATATTACAAACAGACACTCCAATTTTATTTATCTGTATCAATACACACTTTTTCTCTTTTGTTGAGAAGAGGTAAGAGTTAAGAAGTGTGTCATTGTGTTTTGTCACTGGCTCGTAAAATACATTACAATTTTTACAAGCAATTATTGTGAGTAATGTTTTCTAAAATGATTCATTAAGGAATCCCTCTGTTTGTATGCAATGTGTACTAATTACAAGATTGTAGAGTTTATCTTTGCTTAGTAATCAATCACTATTATTCAACTTCAGTATATCTACATAGTAATTAGGTGACACACCACTATTATGCACTCTCTTTTTTAACTGATCAAAATCCAATCAGTCATCAGTTACCACTCTCCACTTACACCATATAACTAGACCTTATTTCCGATGTTTAGAGACTACTTTTGTATGAACAAATGTTGTGGATTTTTCATAATAGGACATTTACGAGTTAAGAAAATGTAAACTAACAATATCAATAGAATTAACTAAAAATCGCGGGTTAGTCACGTGAATGTACTGAGAGTAGACTGTGCGACATCGACACGACCGCGCACGCTGCTCATGAGGAAGAACCCCTTTGTGGTTCGAAACTAGTAGAGCTTTTCTCAGTATATTCACGTGAGTAACCCACGATTTTTAGTTAATTTAATATCAATAGAAGCAAACAAATTGTCTCATAGAACTTTTAGATACCATGTTGGCCATGTGTTCGCAGGCCGAGTGTCTCGGGTCGGTGTAGTAGCAATGTCTCTGTCTGGAATTGTGCCCGGTATATGGCAATGGGCTCACCTCCTATTACATGGGACTCATAAGATAAATAGTGAAAAGTGGTTGTTACATTGTACAGTGGCGTTATGAGCCGAGATGTGCACCTCTGCCTACCCCTACCGGGATAACAGGTGTGACGTTATGTTATATAGTATAGTGTATAGGTACACTCATTTTTGTTGAGTTTTGCATCTTGTTGCAAAGAGGTTTTTCATTACTTAAGTACCTGATCACTAACACACACTGAGTTACAAAGCAAGAATGCCAAATATAGGTCAAAATAACCCCTTAGGTTTAAAATAAAAAATGAGTAGATTACGAAAACCACACAATTACTCATGTCTGTAACTTAGGTAGAATTGTGCTATCATTTATTTCTGCTGTACCTATACAAAAAGGGAAAACTGTACTGTTAATTCTTTGTACATAGTTATCTAATTTCAACTTAACAATTAAAGTATTATAATAATGTGTCATGTATTTTATAAATCACTAGCTGTTGCCCGTGGCTTCGTCCATGTAGAATGTGAATTTTAGGACATAACTTTTTTTGTTTCAATTTTCCAATATTTAAAAGTGTCTATGTTACTCCTTTAACTCCTTAGTACATCAACTAACTGCTTATGAAAGTCCCGTCAAATCGGTCCAGCCACTCCAGAGATTATGCGACTTTCTTTTATCCTATGTAGTGATTTAAAAAGTTACAATTTCATCTTATAAATTTCATGGTTTCATCTCTTGTTATGGGACTCATCATCATACCTAACTGCTGATAAATCAATATGTGCATCTTAGCCTAACAATTATTTTTTGTCAGAGTCACAATGCATCTTTTTTCACATTTCTTTAAAGTTTGTTTATGATGTAACCTCTATTCTCTATGACCTGTAAACCTAGGCATTGTGTATTCAATTCTGTATTGTAAATGAGTTATTCAAAGGTATGATCACATCTCAATTTTTAGTTTATTTCTTATAGTAATGTGCAAAAAAGAATGGTGAATTTTACTTAAGTGTCAGTCAGTATTAAGTCATCATTGCATCTCTATTATGAAAGAAGCCTTTTCGAAGGCTTGGTGACTCAGTTCAAGAATTTAAAACGAGTTAACTAACTAGCTAAAACTTAACTTACTTCCATATCTCTATGGTTTTAGTACCTAGTAGTCGGGTACGAGAACATGCCAGGATCTTTATTACCCATGTGGGTTAGAATATGACTTTTTGCTCGTAATTGGTAGGTGTTTGGCCGCTATCTTGCCAGACGGTAAGCAATGATGCTGTCTACGAT